TGAAAATTTCTAATTTAATTTTGTTAAATTTACAATATTTTTTATTTTATCATATTTCCAGTCCGTCTGAACCTCTACAGTCTGTATCTTAATTTCATGTTTATATATAGCCCTGCAAAGTGAAAACTCTACAAACAAGTTTTTACTTTGAGATATTTAATTCAAAACAAAAACATATTTTTTTAGATTCGTGTTATAGACCTCACAGATGGTAATGGGTTTAGATGTTTACATCAGTTTGATGTTGGTAAAGTCATTGCTAAGGAGAAGGACCCTAAATTTATGGAACAAAATGAAACCAAGAAAGGTATCAGTATCTTTTATCATCATAATTGGTGTCGATAATGTTTGATTCACATGATCAATTTCACATTTTCTTTAAATAATGATTTTAAGTCTATCATGTTACATAGGATATGAGTTCAAACATCCTTTTTTTTCTTGACTATATTATTAATCTCAAAAATGTTTTTTTTTTTAAACAAACATAATTAAGAGAATGATACATTGTATTAGTTTGATTTTTATACGCCCGTTTGAAAAACGGGACGTATTATGGGAACGCCCCTGGCGGGCGGGCGGAAGGGCGGCGTCCAATTTTGTCCGGAGCATATCTCCTACATGTATTGAGGAATTTTAATGAAACTTCATAGAAATGTTCACCAATATGAGGAGCAGTGTCGCGCACATGAACCAGGTCTCTAGGTCAAAGGTCAAGGTCACACTTAGAGCTCATTGAAAAATGCTTGTCCGGAGCAAAACTTCCACATGTATAGAGGGATTTCAATATTACTTGGCACAAATGTTCACCATTGTGAGGCGGAGTGTCGCGCGCAAGATTCAGGTCCTTGCGGCCAAGGTCAAGGTCACACATAGAGGTCAAAGTTCAGATAAAAATATGAAGATGTGTATATTGACCATTTAGTCATCATTTATTGAGGGATTGTAACACAAATGGTCATTATCAAGACTATGGCTGTGATACATATAATTTAGGTCAATATATACAAGGTCAAGGTCACTAAAGATGATGAAATATCCAGATTTTGTCCGGAGCATATCTCCTACACGCATGGAGGGATTTTAATGAAATTTCATAGAAATGTTCACCATTATGAGAAGCCATGTCACGCACATGAACTAGGTCTCTAGGTCAAAGGTCAAGGTCACACTTAGAGCTCATTGAAAAACGCTTGTCCGGAGCAAAACTTTCACATGCATTGAGGGATTTCAATATAACTTGGCACAAATGTTCACCATTGTGAGGCGGAGTGTCACACACAAAATTCAGGTCCCTGCAGCCAAGGTCAAGGTCACACATAGAAGTCAAAGTTTAGATAAAAATATGAAGATGTGTATAGGGACGATTTAATCATCATTTATTGAGGGATTGTAACACAAATGGTCATTATCATGACTACGGCTGTGACACATGTACTTTAGGTCAATATATGCAAGGTCAAGGTCACTAAAGATGGTGAAATATCCAGATTTTGTCTGGAGCATATCTCCTACATGTATGGAAGAATTTTTATAATACTTTATGGAAATGTTCACCACCATGATATGTATTGCTCCATGCATGATCCAGGTCTCCAGGTCAAAGGTCAAGGTCACACTTAGAGCTCATTGAAAACGCTTGTCCGGAGCAAAACTTCTACATTCATAGGGGGATTTCAATATAACTTGGCACAAATGTTCACCATTGTGAGGCTGAGTGTCTCACGCTAAAATTCAGATCCCTGCGACCAAAGTCAAGGTTACACATAGAGGTCAAAGTTCAGATAAAAATTTGAAGATGTGTATAGGGACCATTTAGTCATCATTTATTGATGGATTGTAGCACAAATGGTAACTATCATGACTACAGGTGTGACACATTTAATTTAGGTTAATATTTGCAAGGTCAAGGTCACTGGAGATGATTAAATATCCAGATGTTGTCCGGAGCATATTTTCTACATGCATGGAGGAATTTTAATGTTACTTTATAGAATTGTTCACCACCATGAGATGTAGTGCCCTGCACATGAACCAAGTCTCTAGGTCAAAGGTGAAGGTCACAGTTAGAGCTCATAGAAATACGCTTGTCTGGAGCAAAACTTCTACATGCATAGAGGGATTTCAATATAATTTGGCACAAATGTTCATCATTGTGAGGCTGAGTGCCGTGCATAAAATTCAGGTCCCTGCGACCAAGGTCAAGGTCACACATCCTGTGCATATCTTCCCTACTGTTTTGTTTTAAGGTTCATTTAACAACACAGTGCCAAGAATAAAAACTTGCTTGCTAGATAACACTTATCCATAATGCCCCCATCTTCATCTAAAGCTTTCGTAAACGGGCGTATTTTGTGACTATGGCACCCTTGTTTTTGTGTGTATTCAAAATTCTCTATGGTTATATAAGCAAGCTATGTAAGCTTTTACTTGCAGAAAGATAGCTTTCTTGGTATAAGATTTGCAAATGGTAATTTGTCTATGCCAATTTATGAGTCTGACATTCTTTGTTCTTGTAAAATTTACAAAGATTTACAAGATAACAGTGAAATACTGGTATAGAAATTAGATACACTGGTTAGAAAACTGCCTGTCTGTTTATGGTAGAGGTAATGTTTTAAATCAACACAAACAATTATAAAAAACAAAATCATAGTATATATATTGATGATTCAGGGCCTGTCACCATAAGTAGTAGACCAACATGGAAGCAGGGAGACCGGAACAATTCAGTGAGTGATGTACCTGACAACATTGATGACAGTGTAGAAGCTGGATCATCTGTACTCTGTTTATATTATACATATGTACATGAAGAGACCCTGGCTAGACAGGCATCTACCGTATCTAGAGATCTACCATTCCTCTCAAACAAAACTGATGTTGTAGGGTTAGCTGTTTATAGTTATATGTTTTATTTGTTGCATTATGTATGTTTATTTTTTTTTTATATTTTATTGCGTTTTACATTGTAATCACAATTTATGTCATATGGTGACTTTCCAAGCTTTACTGGTGGAAGATGACCTCGGGTTCCCCTATGTGCATTATTTCAGGCACAAATGGTCACCCAAGTAGAATTTCTGGCATTCTGTAAGCTAGCTGGATAGATGTATGTTTCATATATATATATAAATAGAAGCAGGATTTATTTCTGAAATAGAAGAAATATCTGTTTATTGTCAAAGGACAATATAGAAATTGACTCTGTTAGTCTGTCTGTGCCTGTCTCTGTCTGTGCCTGTCTCTGTCTGTCTGTCTGTCCATTACACTTTGTGTCTGTTCCGTAGCTCATAACTCAGCTATACATTAAGGAATTTTGTAATAACTTTGCACAAATATTTACTATAATAAGATGACATGTTATTCACAACACCCATACCTCTACTACCATTTATATGTCAAGATTAACATGGATTGTAATTCCTTGTCCAGAGTTTTAGAGAGATTCCAGTGAAACTTTAAATATAGATAAATAACAGTGAGATGGAGTGTATTGCAAGAGAACAATAATCCTATCCAAAATAATTATCAAATTATCTCCCTTAATGTGCATGTAATGCGTTTTAGTGATAAAAATTCAGAAAGTTTTCTGTTGATTTGATTTTATTTCCACAAAATATTTACTGTTGCATGTGCAAATCAGTCATTTATCAAGATTTTAGACTTTTATACATACCTAAAACTTTTGAAATAATTCAATTGTGTTTCATGTAAAACTTCTTTTGGTAGGGGATGTTGGTATCTCTGTTATAATTTTTTTAGCTACTCCACCTGTGTTCTTATCTTTCAGAGGCCATCCATATATTGATTTTAAAGTTCTAACACTTTTGTATAACTGTCACCTGCACTTGAAATATTGCTTCCAGACTATGAATACTTATTTCTGACTTTCACACGTTTCTAGGCATGAGTACATAACTCTCTCATAAATTTTCATCATTATTATAGCCCCTTTGACTGTTTTCACTGTACTTATTCAGGTACTGAAATTTGTTAAAAGAGATATGTAAGGACAGTTATTGTTTCTTAAAGTAATTCAATAAAGTTGTAAAGTTACCTGGTGTATTTAAACCTTGGTTTCTTTCAGTGATTTATTGAAAACCTCTCCTATGTTGATGGTGGGTACAACAGCAGGCATGCTAGAGTTTAATGCTAGAACACTAGATATGGCTGGCTATGTTGACTTTCAAGGTACAGCTCATTGTATTATTATAAAATAAACTTACATGGACAAAAACTATTACTTCCTTGATTTCTTGATGTGACTTACATGTCAATAAACATTTTCTCAAATTGATACCACATGTTTGATATTGTATAATTATAAAGTATCATAAATATATCACCTTCACCTGTATTTGTGTGTGATCAATATACTTCTCTTCATGCAAGTATCTAAATAAAAGCATTACATTAAGTAATCAGTATTTGCCAACATTAAACTAGAAGTAAATTAATTAATCATGAATTAAAGATTACTGTTTGAAATACATGTAAGTGTATGGAAAAATGAACAATCTGAATACTTCTATCAACTTTGAATTAAAAATATAACTCTCTGATTCGACTTTACCCTGCTGAATTTCCTAAATGGATTTGTCCAGCTTCCATATTCTGAACTGTCCATTATCAGTTCTAGGGATATCAAGATGAAAATCTAAAGTTTGCCAGCCAACAGTATAGAGTCTGGTTAGACTGCATGGGAGTGCATGCTACCCTTATTCTGTGCTGGTGGCAAAGGCTAATTACTAATGAAACCAGCAGGGTAAAGGTTAGTATAATAGTGCAGTTTGTTGACAATTCATTGTCTTATTATTGTAATAAATAAAAATAAAATGAAAAGTATTATATATTTCTCTAACAAGGCAATCATATATGACTGATATTAAGACATTATTTATCAGATCCAGTAAGCTGTAAAGATAACTTGAATGCTGATACAAAGACATTGAATGCTGCTGGTACAATTATATTTGGTCAAAGTTCTGATAACAAGGTAGCATATTGTAGCATTTTGTTACTGTAGTAATTCTGATAACTTCCCAATGATCATATAATCTTGAATTATATACCAGGTACATGTAACATTACAAATAAGTTTTTTTCAACAGAGTAAAAACTGGCAAAATGTAAACACCATCATTATGCCTGACCTTTCACCTTTCCATATTGTTTAATTGTTTAAGATATGGGTTTACAGTATATGTAAAGAAATTGAAGTGCAAAGAGTTCAGCTGTTTGATTGGATGTTTCATTGCTTAATTTATTATTGCTTCACAATTATACAGGTATTATTACAGCTTTATGTTGAGCTCTTAATGCCAGATGCTAATTTTCTTGTTATGCTGATTAAGAAAGCATTTGGTTGGAATAGATAAGCATTTGACAGTTCATGAGACTGGCATTAGTTCAGCTTGAAAATTTAATTATGTAACTTTAATAACTTTTATTGATTTTTGGCTGTAATTTTATTTTATATTATCTTAGATTTGGTGCATAGTAGGAAGTCCTTTCCAAAATGTTGTTCATATATTAAAATGGGGAAAGTCAGAAAGTAAATCTAGGAATCAGACACCAGTATCACGAAGTTCTGGGAACCAGACACCAGGGTCACAGAGTTCAAGTGATCTAACAGATATAGAGGACAGATTTTCAGCTATGGATCCCTCTTCTAGAGCTGAAAGTACACAGAAACAAATAGAAATAACAGTATTATCTAAGTATGTTTTATAATGATTATTAATAAACCTGTATATAAATGTACTGCTTTAACCTGTGTTTACATGATAAAGATCAATAACAATACATAAAATATGAGCCTAATAGATAAAATATATATTGAAATGCTGACCAGTGAGTGGCACCTCAGTAAGGGCTATTGGCAGTGCTTCTGTCTTTAAGGTATTACAATTATAGTTTAGAGCAATTTTTATTTGTATATTTTTATCTCATTTCTAAACAATAATTTTAATTGCTAAAAACAATGTGAAAGACATGTAGATGTTAATCATTTCTCATCAATTCTTTAAATTTTCAGAAGAATGTTTTATCATTTATTAAATGTTAGATGATAAATCATTAAATAATGTCAAGGCCTAACTTAAAATGTAATATAAAATCTAAAAACAATTAAATATGAATATCCTTGTATATTGTGAGAAATATAAATTAGAATTAAAGGAAATAAGACTTGGCGGTAATAAGACTAGAACCTCTGACCTGTTTCAATGTGAACATCTAAAATGTGTGGATAAACCCACTGAGCCAGTAGTTCTGTTTAACACAAGTTGTTTAACCTTATAACTATAAACTGACCTACATATTCTGTATTGTTCACCAGATTTACATAATATTGGACTTTCCCATGAACCTTAATAAGCAGATTATCACATTTGGATTAAACATCATTCTGGTATTTTGTAGCAAGTCATATCAATATTTATAAATGGTTTTAATAGAATAATGCTATCTTTTTTAAGAATAGTTCAAGGGTTATGCTGTGTATTTTCTGTTCCAGCTATAAACAAATAATAATTCATAGAGATATTAAATAAGATAAAATCTGACCAGTCTATTAACCCATTACTTCATATACACGCCTTTAACGCCTTTTTCACCCCCCCCCCATTTTTAGCTCGACTTTTCTATGAAAAGGGGAAGCTATCCTACTCGCCCCGGCGTCGGCGTCGGCGTCGGCGTCGGCGTCGGCGTCACACCTTGGTTAAGTTTTTCGTACCACCCCACTTTATTTCAGAAGTATTACAAGTATGGCTTTGAAACTTACCATACTTGTTCACCATCATAACCTCCATCTACAGACAAGAGTACATAACTCTGTCAAGGTTTTTGACAGAATTATGGCCCTTTTTTGACTTAGAAAGTGTATTGAGCTTGGTTAAGTTTTTTGTACCACCTCACTTTATTTCAAAACCATTGGAGGTATTGCTTTGAAACTGACCATACTTGTTTACCATCACGACCTTCATCAACAGACAAGAGGACATAACTCTGTCAAGGTTTTTGACAGAATTATGCCCCTTTTTGACTTAGAAAATACATTGAATATGGGTAAAATCCACTTATTGCCCTTAACCCTTTGAGATATTGCTTTGAAACTTTTTAATGCTATTTCACATCATTACCCCCATCTGTACGCAAGAGAAGGTAACTCTGTCAAGGATTTGTTTTAAAAATTAAGGCCTTTTATCGACTTAGAATCTTGGTTAAGTTTTTAGTACCAGTCCACTTTTTGACTGAACTGTTTGAGATATTAATTTGAAAGTTGGAATACTTGTTTACAATCATGATTCCCAAACATGTCCAGGAGAAGGTAATTCTGTCAAAGATTTTATTTGAATTATGGCCCTTAACTGTCAATGTTTTGTATTATAGGCAAGCACTAAAAAACTTAAAAAATCTAAAAAAATTCATTCCTATCCACTTGTTCACTTTACCATAAATTATGTCATAATAAAATAATTCTTCACTAAATATCTTAATGCTCATGGCCATTGTTCACTTTAAAAATACAGAGATTCTTGTATTGCCTTTTACTGCAAAAACTTTTTTTATTGGCAAGCAATAAAAAAGTCGAGCGCGCTGTCTTACGGACAGCTCTTGTTGTTGTCTCAAATGGTGAAAAAATGCCTTATTTAGGCCCCCAACACTTGTTTTTGTTTGAGAAATGTTGTTAAAAAAAGTGACCAGTTTTTCGGCGCGGCCCCCCAACCAAAAGATACATCAGGGGGTTGCCAAAAGGGGGATGTGCGGAGTCCCCCTCATCGCCAAGAAAATTTTGGACTTGTGAGAGGCTATAAATGACCTCAGATTGATCATAAGGTAATGTGTAACCAACGCTGAAAAAAGCATTTGACTCTATCTCAATCCATTGAGAAGTTGCAGCACTTTGAAATCAATTATGATGGAAAAAATCAACGCAAAATAGTGATTTTTGGCAATTTTGAGATGTCCCCTCGTTGCCATGGTAACAGAAAATTTAAGCCTGAGCATGTTGTTGCAAGGGCAATGGTCCAGTCAACATTTGTGTCAAGTTTGATTAGTGTTGAAGCAGTTTTTATAGTATTATAGCAATTTGAACTTGTAACGGGAGACTTTTCAATGAAAACAGCCATTTTTCACAAAATGCTCATGAAGTAATGGGTTAATGAAAAAAATAAAAAGATCTACAAAACAACAATTTTTCTTCAAATTTATATGACAGGCCATGTTTAAACATGGAAAAACGCGAATTAGGGTAATTTCAAGTATTTTCATCATTTTCTGTTAACCCATTACTTCATATACATGCCTTTTAACGCCTTTTTCACCCCCCCCCCCTTTTTGTTGTCTCAAATGGTGAAAAAATGCCTTATTTAGGCCCCCAACACTTGTTTTTGTTTGAGAAATGTTGTTAAAAAAAGTGACCAGTTTTTCGGCGCGGCCCCCCAACCAAAAGATACATCAGGGGGTTGCCAGAAGGGGGATGTGCCCCTTCTGTTTGGTGGGTTTGAAGGGGGGCGGAGTCCCCCTCATCGCCAAGAAAATTTTGGTCTTGTGAGAGGCTATAAATGACCTCAGATTGATCATAAGGTAAAGTGTAACCAACACTGAAAAGCATTTGACTCTATCTCAATCCATTGAGAAGTTGCAGCACTTTGAAATCAATTATGATGGAAAAAATCAACGCAAAATAGTGATTTTTGGCAATTTTGAGATGTCCCCTCGTTGCCATGGTAACAGAAAATTTAAGCCTGAGCATGTTGTTGCAAGGGCAATGGTCCAGTCAACATTTGTGCCAAGTTTGATTAGTGTTGAAGCAGTTTTTATAGTATTGTAGCAATTTGAACTTGTAACGGGAGACTTTTCAATGAAAACAGCCATTTTTCACAAAATGCTCATGAAGTAATGGGTTAATGAAAAAAATAAAAAAATCTACAAAACAACAATTTTTCTTCAAATTTATATGACAGGCCATGTTTAAACATGGAAAAACGCAAATTAGGGTAATTTCAAGTATTTTCATCATTTTCTGTTAACCCATTACTTCATATACACGCCTTTTAACGCCTTTTTCACCCCCCCCCCCCCCTTTTTGTTGTCTCAAATGGTGAAAAAATGCCTTATTTAGGCCCCCAACACTTGTTTTTGTTTGAGAAATGTTGTTAAAAAAAGTGACCAGTTTTTTGGCGCGGCCCCCCAACCAAAAGATACATCAGGGGGTTGCCAGAAGGGGGATGTGCCCCCTTCTGTTTGGGGGGTTTGAAGGGGGGCGGAGTCAAGAAAATTTTGGACTTGTGAGAGGCTATAAATGACCTCAGATTGATCATAAGGTAACGTGTAACCAACGCTGAAAAGCATTTGACTCTATATCAATCCATTGAGAAGTTGTAGCACTTTGAAATCAATTATGATGGAAAAAATCAACGCAAAATAGTGATTTTTAGCAATTTTGAGATGTCCCCTCATTGCCATGGTAACAGAAAATTTAAGCCTGAGCATGTTGTTGCAAGGGCAATGGTCCAGTCAACATTTGTGCCAAGTTTGATTAGTGTTGAAGCAGTTTTTATAGTATTATAGCAATTTGAACTTGTAACGGGAGACTTTTCAATGAAAACAGCCATTTTTCTCAAAATGCTCATGAAGTAATGGGTTAAAAAGTGGGTGAGACATTCTTTATGTCTATTTATTTACAGATGAATAAACATCATTTCTTTAAGCCTTTAAAGTTGCAGACATATTTAAGGAAGCAGTAAAATGTAGAACACATATTTTCCAGTTGTTAATGTGACTTATAGGAATATATATACATGTATGAAACATTTTTAATAGGTCAGCCTTACTGGATGATTCACCATTGAGAGCTGACATGACACCAAAGACTAAAGATACTAAAGATAAAACCCCTAGAGGTAATAATATAAAGTCATTTACTTTAGAAGAGGTAATAATATAAAGTCATTTACTTTAGAAGATTTAAGTACAAGTAAAGAGCTTTATGCAATATATCTATTTATATGAGATGGGAATTTCATTTTTTCTTGAATTGTGTAATGTTTAGTAAGTCAAAGGTATTTTAGTTCTTTTTTCTGCAAATAATATATTTTGTTTCCTTATAAGAATATTTGTTTAAAGAAGTTTTTGTATTGCTGCTCATATATTCAGGCATTTTGTTTTTATTAGAAGTTATATAAATATAAAATGAAATGTGAAGCTACTGTCATCCCTATTTTCATGCCTCAGGAAAGGAGAGCATAATTTTAGTCGCTGCATTGTCTCTCCTTCAATCTGTCTTGTCCATCCTTCTGGTCAGAACAATTGCTACTTAGGTGGCTATGAGAATAAAAGATAACAGTAAAATTTGAGGAAAAAGTTTGTGGCGAAAATAGTTTTTTTACATGGCTTTCTGAAGAAAGGGAAGAACAATAAGGTAGCCACACATTTGCCATTTTGTTAGAATGTCTGTTTGTCTGTTCGCCATACTCATGTCTGAAGGATTCTATATGTGATATTTCTTATTCTAGGTTTTCTTTCTTCTTTCTTGAAATTTTATATGCATTTTTTTTATTGTCAGATTTTGTAACTCCTCCAAAGAAAGGTGCTATATTAGATAAACAGCCAGTCACATTCAAGACAAAAATAAAATCATCTGGTTATACTGCTGCTCCAAGGTATTTATATTGTCAGTGTTCTTTTCACCACTTTATTTGTATAATGGGTTGGTCCTGCTTTCAGTTTAGAACTTTCCATTGTTATTTGAAGGGTAATCATTATAATTAAAAATCCAAAATTGATTACTACATGTATATACAGACAAGTCATTAGCGCTGCTTGTATGTAAGTTGTATGTCTTCTTTTATGGAAACAATAGATGTTTATTGGTTTAAACATATTTATTTAAGCTCGATTGCGAAACAAGTTCTTGCAACTTATATTAATCACTTTCGAGTCCGCTTCCTGGAACCAACCAGTACTGGTGTCATATGAAGAAACATGGTCGTGACCCGAGTAGGGCTCAAACCCATGATCTCTGGGTTGAGAGGCAGACACCTTAGCCACTAGGCCACCTCTCCCCTATAGATGTTTATTGTAGTTACACGTAGCAGATAATTGTTGTTGGATTATCATATATTTTTCTTTTAGAATGACCATGTTTACACCATCAACAAACATTTCTGCAAAACCTAAAATACTGGCAAAGTCAAGTGCTAGGCAGACTCAGTAAGTATACATGTATCTTACATTAACATTTATTTTAACGAAACATATTTCATACATAATTATTGTAGAGATATAGTAAACATTTAAATTTTGTTCAATTTTGTATGTATGAATTTTGTATTGCTGTATGATAGATACTAAGAATGTTATAGCGTATATTAATATAATAAATGTATATATAGGTCAGCTCGAGAGTACCCAGTACGTGGTAACCCTCCAGTAAATCTTTTGACAAAATTTGATGTCGCTGAGAGACCAACAGCTGTCAACACAATAACTGTTTCTGGTAATGTAGAATTTAAAAATATAATTGAGCCGCATCACGACAAAACCAATATAATGCATCCGCGCAGTCTGATCAGGATCCATGCTGTTTGCTTACCTACCCTATTACAAGTAGCAAAACTGATAGCGTACAGCATGGATCCTGATCAGACTGTGCGGAAGCGCAGGCTGGTCTGGATCCATGCTGATTGCAAACGCATTACGTTGGTTTTGTCATGGCGCGGCCCATATGTATATGCTGAACAGTAAATTAAAGCCCTTAGTTAACTTGATTACTGTCATGGATAGTGTAAAGTAGATTTTAACTGTTTTCCTGTCTACTCAGCCATTCTGTTGAATACTGCCTTTTAACTATATAAGTATTTGCTTTATCAATTGAGTTTGTTTTAAAGAAATTTGATTACATAGAATTTCTTTTTTGCATATTATTTGAACAACCTTGTTATAACTTTTTTATGAACATACAAGCTGTGCTTGGATCTGAAATTATTGAAAATTGTAAAAGTTATTTATAATTGTACAGATGGAGGTCAGAACCTAGCATGTGCTCTTGCCAATAAGTCAGCCCTTGTGTTCAGTGTTCCATTGTCAAATAAAGGTTCTACAGCCTATACAGGTAGATATATAATTATAAAATATGTAAATAATTAAAGTGGTACTTTAATAGCATATGATTATAATAAGATACATTTTGCATTTGTTTTCTTTTTTCAGAGAAATACACACATAGTTTATTATGCAGTAAATAAATTAGAAAACTCAATTATGTTTGTATAATATTTTCAATTGAAAAGATATACACATGATTATAGATTTACTTTTGTTTCACTTATAACATTATATTCAAATGAAATAGCATCCCCAACTAAAGGCATTGCCTTGTCCATCCCACTTTTCATCCACCCTGGCTATGTAAAGTAAATAGGGGTCATCTTATTGTAATACAGAACAGAAGAGAACAATTAATATCATATCATAAGAATAGAATCAGAGGCAATGGCCCTGTGTTCAGAAAAAAATTGTAGTTAAAGAAATATCATTAAATCATTAAAGGATGGTATATGGCTAACCTTTGCTCAGTTTTATGGCCATTGTAACAATTTTGTGGTATATAATACTAAGAAACTTTTATCAAGTGCTCTGTTATTTAGGACATAACCACATAGTGACCTGTGTAGACTGGAGTCATACTGGTTCCCGGCTTCTCACATGTTCTGATGATAAGACAGCATGTGTATGGGTCAAAGGTCAATCAGATCCTGTAATGACCTTTGACAGAATGGTTAAAAACACAGCTAATACGGAGAGTAAAATTAACAAAAAGGTATGTTAAATAAATGCTGATGGTGTTTGTCTTTCATATACAATACTCTTATTGCAGACACAAGTTTAAACATAGGATCATTGTTAAGTTAACTTCACTGCATCTAATTTTTCCTTCTTTTAGAAAAACCTTATATGATGATGATCATCATCATCAACAACAACAACAACATAATTATCATGATCATCATCAACATCATCATCATCATCAACATAATCATCTTTGTCAACATTAGTATTATATATGATATGAATAGCTTTCTTTTTTTATTGATGCTTATTAAAAGTTTTCACAAAATCATTTACAAATTGAAATATATATGAAAATTTATAAAAATCTAATTATTCTGTTTTCTACTTCTAAATAAAAGTATTTTAACAGATGAATAGGTTTGAAATTTATTGTGTTTGAAAAAAAATGTTATAGCAATAGTTATTTATTTTGCAGGATAACAAAGCCTATACTAAAGAAGTGCACTTTGGACAGTTTTATTTCATGGATAAATTTATTTTACTGTGTGTTGGAAACCAACTTCTCATGTATAAATATTATATAGATACCAACAAAAATGATATACAAAGGTAAGTGTATGATTTAGTCTTAAAAAATCTAAAATCAGTTACAATTTATGAAGCAATTTGTTTTTGTTATGTACATAAAAGCCGCTATTTTTCAAATAAAAAAATGATTTAGCTTCATAATTCTAGTCATAAAAGTTTTAAAAGTCATTCTTTACAACAGCTTTAGAAATACTAAGATTGTTTATTTATTTTCGTATTTGTAACAATGGTATAAACAAACTTGATATTTAAAAATGCTAGCCATTGAAAATCAATGATTTTAGCCATGTCACGACAAAACCAACATAGTGCGTTTGCGACCAGCATGGATCCAGACCAGCCTGCACATCTGCACAGTCTGATCAGGATCCATGCTGTTCGCTTACCAACTCTATTACAAGTAGAGAAACTGATAGCGAACAGCATGGATCCTGATCAGACTGCGCGGATGGGCAGGCTGGTCTGGATCCATGCTGGTCGTAAACACACTTTGTTGGTTTTGTCATGACACAGCTCATTTGTTAATGACATATTGTATGGTTACAGGTATTTAGCTCAGGGTAAATATAAGCTGGTACAAGAATGGGGTGTAGAGTCACAACAAGTGACAGCCATGTCAGCCATTAACAGTTTCCTGTCTTGTATCCTTCTATAGTGTATATGTACTGCAAATATGGGCAGTTTTTGTTCACAAGAGATATTGATATACTTTCATGTTGCCTTTAACTATTGTGCCCATATGTTTTAGATAGATTGAATTAGTGCTTATAATTAACGAATATAACTACAATATATATTAGGTATATATTTTTATAATCTTTCATATATGTTTGTCTGACTATCTACCTGACTTTAAACTTTTGTTCAGTGAACTTTTACTCCATTACAGCCTCTTTAAGACAATTTGGCGCCAAACGTATTGCAAAGGTGCACTTATTATTTGTCGATAGGGTGAATTTCAGGCAATACTTGTTTCTAAAATAATATAGTGTTAATGAAATAATATGATTCATGTGACATTACTATGTAATAGCAATCTTATTTAAAAGGATAGCCATACTGGAAGTATAATTTATTTAAGAATGTTAAAAGTATATTCATAAGATTATTTGAAAATAAATATAGGATTTCTGTTAGTTTAAACATATTGATTTAAGTAAAAGTTTGATTGTGTTGGAAGGTATAAGCTTATTGAAACACTGTTAGATATTTACCTGGAACCAGCCAGTACTAAGCAAAGAGTGTGAAATTTCTTGCTCAAGGAAACAGTGGCTTGCCCCTGACCGGGGTTTGAACCCACACGGCTATCACTCTTTAGATAACTAGTCCAATGTGTAAACCTCTTTACCATGCTGCTACACAGTACAAGGATTTCTGTTGATTTAAAGAAAAAATAATACGCTTGAGCAAAGATTTCCTTGACACATGTACATCAGATATTGTATTATGTGCATGCAGTAACAAGAGTATAGAAGTATTTGATCTGAACACTGGACAGATGGTGAGAAAAATGACAGATGTTCATTCAAGACCTGTACATGCATTATGTCAAAATGAGGTATCATTTGGATTTTATATTGTATTTGTTTTTTTTCCTTCATTTAGTTTTGTGTGCTAGATTTTTTTGTCATGTGACCTTACAGTTTGAGTTTGACTAACGTTTATACCATCAGAACTGAAGGTTTAGTGTGAACTAAATTTTCTTGTCTATTGTGAGTCACCTTAAACAATATATATTTTTAACCTTTCTGAAAGTACAAGACATCAAATATGATGGGTGGCAAGCTGGTACAAGTTAAACTTCACCTGCAAAGGTCAAATGTCAGACACTTTAATGTCTTTTCTTCCTTAAGGGCTTTCATCAAATTTACCTAAAAAATTTTACATTCAAAAGTAATAACAAATGGACCTGTCTAAAATCCTCTGTCTTAAAGACTGTGGGGGTATTCATTATTCCTGTGACAGCTCTAGTTTATTATTGTAATCTTTGTCAGTCTTTCATAGCATTCTTGTTTTATCATTTATTCTGTATTCTTGCATTGATTTTGCTATTCTGTAAAATAAATCTTATTATGCAAATTTGGCACAAATGTAGTATAAGGCATGATTTATCCTGATAGATACCATATTTGTTGCTTTAAGGTGAATATCATACTTGAGGTTATTCGCTCCTTTTTGAAGAATAAAAGGTTGTGGCATTGTCATGATCCACTCATAGGTGCCGGGGTCAGCATCAGTGTTGGTTAACCTTTTTTGGTTAAGTTTTTGTTTACGGTACAAATAAAGCCATAACATTGAAACTTCATATGTGGACCTTGATGAGTTAGATTTTTTTTTGCCCTAAAGAACTTTTTGTGAAGGTTAACTTCTCAAATACTATCAAAGATATCCACTTTACTTGTTCCCTGTAAAAATTGGATTGCATTTCAAAGAGACAGATAACCCTTCAGGGACAATTATCTCCCTTTTTATTTTTGTTTATATTTTCATAATTTTCTCAAAAACCATCACAAATATACACTTTAAACTGGAAAAACTTGTTGAATATCAAGGCAACAATTTCTGCCAAACTGTATCAAAATAATGCCCACTTTTCTACGAGTTAACAAGTTGTTTGATATAGTGAAGAAAAACACCCTCATATTGTCAAATTTAAGTGAATATTAAATAAATCTGTTGGGTTTTGAATAAAAGAATTACAGTGTTTTTGACATTATTGAATTGGTTGTTTGATTTATATATATGAACATACAATTATTGTTTTTACAAATGTATTTTATAATATAGGGATCACAATTTGTATCTCATCCATCAAGTGCCTATGATTTGTTTGCCTCGGCTGCAGCAGGTGATTGTATCAAACTGTGGGATCTTAGAACTAACAGGTACATTAAACTATATATTTCCTTTATTTGTGATTGCTTATTTTTCAATTTTCTGTAAGATCTTGTCTCTCCACAATTGCATAAAAGAGTTTAAAGTGTATTGCTTTTGTGATATAAAAAGCCATTTACTGGGTCAAAGAGAAATTTCAAGATATTTAAATTGTCATTAGGCATTAACATATTGTTTTGAGGATCCCATGTGATTCTAAATATATATTAGAGTGATGATTATTTTTAGACAGTTTGGTATGATACTTGAAAGTTTGTGTTTCTAACATTGACAATATGAATGTCAATATGAAAATGTTGTAAATATTTCAGATGTGTAAGGAGATATGAAGGTCATTTAAACAGAGTTCACCCATGTGGTTTATCATTTAGTCCTTGTGGAAGATTTATTGCTACAGGATCAGAAGATAAATGTGTAAGTTATATATCATGTACATTTTTGTGCATTGTTTGCTAGTCTTATTTTTTACAGAATTGTCTAATATTATTCTGTTTGAAGCAGTTATTTAAAAAAATTTGAATTGAACAAGTACAGTTTTTACTTTATTCACAATTTTAGTCATTGTTTCTGCTTGCAGAATAACATATTTAGGAGTAAAAAAAAGCATCTGTTAAGATATCAGTATAAGATAAACTATAAATGTAGATTTAAATATATTTATCATAACAACCATTTTAGTAGAGGGTGGTATTGCAAGAATCAAATTTAACAGTATGGATACCATTGCTATCTATCTCATGTACATTGCATGTTTAATTTCATAGTTAAACATTGTATATGTTATTTCAGAGTTATATGTCTCATGTACATTGTATGTTAAATTTCAGAGTTATATATTTGACATGAGATCAGGGACATTTTTACATAAATTACAAGGTCACAATGATGTTGTGTCTGATGTAGCATTTCACCCTTCAACTCCGCAGGTGACTTATTTTATCATTGAAACATTTATTGATCAGTATATTCAGTCATTATTTTACAAGCTATTGTAGTACAACACTCTTTTATATGCTTATACACAAAACTGTTCATATGTTTTATTACTCTATGAACTTTATCTTCTTTTATAAGTATTTTCGTTGTTTCCCTGTAATATGATACTATCTTACTTTTTGAATAATGATTATTACAATTATATTTGTATTTATTTTCAGCTTTTCACATGTAGTCTAGACGGAAAGTTAAACCAATACACCAACAGATGATAACAAATTCAAGTTTTAGTCTTGGTACATTTGTGCTGTCTTAAAAATCTAGTCCTTGCAAAATTGCCAAATACGATTAAAGTGGTCAAGGTGAACAAGTCATGTTAATGTACTTGAGCAAGATATACAGGATAGGAAAATGTTGTTGTATATCGTTGAGCTTCCAGATATAATTGACTGTAATCCGCCTGAAAGGAAGATGGATTGTGGGATTGACAACACTCATGATTTAAACATGAGAAGAAATCAACGCTGATTTACATAGCAGAGAATGAATATATGAATAAATTGTGAGAATGCAAATTTTCAATACATTAACTATGTAAAATTGATATGTAATATCAGTAAACAAATGATTAACTCTTGGTGTCTATCGCTTTCAGAAAGAATCTCATGGTATCAAAGATAATATTGTGGGGATTAAAATGTTCATCTTTTATTACATTCACTTAAAACTACCTCTACATGATGTGTTTCAAAAATATGCTTTGTGTTCTTCACTTAAATTTCTCATTAATTATCTCTTGATGCTGACTTAATTCAATATAATTGTTTGTCATTTTAAGTTAATAGTCAAACTATTTTTAGATGTTCACATTATTCAGATTGGAATTCAGTTGCACTTGTTCACAAATGCTTTATTTCAAGTGAAATAATTTTCTGTTGTGTTTTTCGATTGTTGAATATAAGAATAAGGAAAAAAGATGAATAAACTTGTCATAGACAAAACATTTTCTTATTTTGTTTTTATTATGCCACCGCAGCATCTGCGATGCGGTGGCATATAGCGATTCACCTGTGTGTATGTATGTGTGTGTTTGTGTGTGTGTTATATAGATTATATAGTGAACTTAAAAAATCTCCTTGTGAAAAACTACTAGTCCAGTTTCAAACAAACTTGGCAGGATTGAACCTTGGGTGCAGAAATTCCATGCAGAAATCTGGTTGCCATGGCAACCAAAAGGAATTATAAGAATAAATTTAAAAAATCTTCTTGTAAAGACCCAAAAGGCCTAGAGCTAAGATATTTTGCATAAGGCATTGTCTGGTAGACTTCTAACAAGATTCTTCAAATTATAGCCCAGGGGTCAAAATTGGCCCCGCCCCGGGGGTCATTGATTTTCACTATGTACATATAGTAAAAACTTAAAATACCTTCGTGTAAAAACCCAAAAGGCCTAGAGCTTAGATATTTTGCATAAGGCATCATCTGGTAGACCCTTACCAAGATTGTTCAAATTATAGCCCTTGGGTCAAAATCGGTCCTGCCCCGGGGTCATTGATTTTCGCTATATGTACATATAGTAAAAACTTAAAACACCTTCTTGTAAAGACCCAAAAGGCCTAAAGCTTAGATATTTTGCATAAGGCATTGTCTGGTAGACCTCTACCCAGATTGTTCAAATTATAGCCCTGGGGTCAAAATCGGCCCCGCCCAGGGGTCATTGGTTTTCCTTATATGTATATAGTAAAAACTTAAAAAAGATTCTTCTAGCAATTGACAAATACTAGAGGTTAGATATTTTGCATGAAACATTGTGTTGTAAACCTCTAGCAAGATTGTTCAAATTATAACCCTAGGGTCAAAATTGCCCCCGCCCTGGGGGTCATTGATTTCAATATATACATATAGTAAAAAATAAAAAAATGTTATTATCTGAAGGTACAAGGCTTAGAGCTTTAATATTTGTTAAATAATATCATCTAAAGGTACTCTACTAAAGTTGTTCAAATTTTGCCTCTTATGTCAAAATTAGCCCCGCCCTTGGGAGCCATAGGTTTATCTTTTATGTATATAGTTAAAACTTAAAAAATCATCCTCTCAAAATTTACAAAGGATAGAGTTAAGATATTTTGCATGAAACATTGTGTAGTGAACCTCTAGCAAGATTGTTCAAATTATAGCCCTGGGGTCAAAATTGGTTCCGCCCTGGGGGTCATTGATTTTCATTATGTACATATAGTGAAAAAAAAAATTTTGTCTGAAGGTTCAAGGCATAGAGCTTTGATGTTTGATATATAATATCATCTATAGGTCCTCTACCAAAGTTGTTCAAGTGTCAAAAATTGGCCCTGCCTGGGGGCAGTGATTCTCATTATGTACACGTAGTAAAAACGGAAAATAAAACAAATGTTTTCTGAATTGGAGAAAGCTATAGCTTAGATATTTGACTTGAAATGTTGTGTGGTGGACCTGTATCAAGATTGTTACTAAACCCTTGGGTCAAAATTATGCCTTGCCCAAGGGGACAGTGACCTACTTTCTTGTCCTTTGATGTACAGCAATGACATTTTGACCATGTGCACAGTTTAGTTGTAAAATTGAACTTTGACCTAGATTTTGATGATGTGACCTACTTTCTTGTCCTTTGATGTACAGCTATGAAATTTGAACCATGCGGTGGCATAGCATTTTTCTCAAATGCAATCTTGTTTGATCTGAAAAAGCTACATTTTTTTCCTAAATAACGATCAACTTTGCCTTGACCTAGTAAATGTTGTCGAATCTACTGTTTTAAGATTTTGTGCGGAGGTTGGTCATGATTGGGAGACGGTCCTTATTGTTTTTGAGGTCAATTGAGTAGAGAATGTCTGGGCCCGAAGTCTTAAGATTAAACGTGGATGTTGGTTGTGGTAAGTAAACGACTCTTTGAGGTCAGTTGGCCAAAAGTTAAGATCTATGTGGTTTTTAGCCCATGTATATTATGTATAGGTGAATCATGACCATGTCACAGGTAAATTTCATTGTGGAAATTGGTCATGACTAGGAGACGAGGTCAAGGTCTTTGGTTTTTACTTAAACAATTGTATTTAAGCAATTAGAAATATGGTCAAGCTATCACGTCCATAGTGACCCCGTAAACAGTCCGATCAAAAGGTCTAAGTAACATGACTTATTGCTTTATTGGTTTTCATAAGGGGGCATTCTCGTCACAAACATAATTTGTAGAAACATTCAAAACCACAAGATATTTCTAAATCGACAAACTGATCTGTCAATCAACTCGCAAAATGTAACGTTATGTTTCAATTAAACCAGGACTCTTTTATACCCCATATTGTGTAGCTTATCTTTAAAGGAAAATATTTTAAATAATCGTTAGTTTGACGTTTTAATTCGAAGATTTCAATCCATATAAAGCAACCGAGGTCAAGAAGAATCTGTTGCATATTTCATTTTCTCTTTTATGTGAACGAACAAAATTCATCAATTTTGCAAAAGTTAAATCTGCAAGTATAAAAAAAAATCAAATATTTGTAGCAATATAGTTCTGACTGAATAACCTGATGGTGTTTTTATGACTAACATGTATAGACTAGCAGTAACTAACTGCATTAAATATGCTCAGAATGAGGTCTCTTATAAAACACTAGATTTGTTATCTATTTTATTTTTTTGTTAAATTGTTTATAAATCAATGTGTTCATTTTAAAGTGATGTTTGTTGTATATAACGAAAAATGTATTAGTCCTGAGTTTTCGTAATTTTCTAAGTAGTTCACGAATTGTACACAATTTTGTTTCTTAGTAAATACGAATCAGTTACATACAGAGGCAAGATGTTTGCTTTAGGGATGTATTTATAAGAATAAATAAAGATCGTGTCAACGAAATAATTTTTTTTTCATCATTGCAAATATCCAAGTCGTTTCGATTGAAAGAAATTTTTTAACTGTTATTTATTTTATTTTGTGAGGATTTGATCAAACATGAAATTAATTATTTTTAAGAGAAATAAGATACTACTAATAATGATAATTATAATAATAAAAGAAATGATAATGGATGACAAGCATTGTCACTCATAGACTTTATATAACATTTTGAAAATGTCAAGGCCGGGCAAGTTATTGTAAAAGTGTGCGTTTCTTATTTGTTACCGCAAACGATATTATGTGACAAACCTTATTTATCCTATTGCGATTGTTTACAATATAACCTGATTAGGCATTGATTATTGTTATTGTTATGAAAATAATGAGATTTGGTCAATTTTGACCAAAACGGAAAATTGCGTGTACTTGTCAATAAAGTCTAGAATAATATCTCAATGGAGAATAGGCATTATATTTGGCTTTCTCTGACAATATGATTGCCAAATGTTCACGCACGTCAATCAAATAGAGATTTATAGACAACATGAACAATGATCCGTTATAAAATAGTGCAAGGAAGAACGATTATTTTACACAAGCAATGAAATCTGTCACTATTTTATTTGCTTTGAAGTTGATTATATATGACATTAATGACATTGTGACTACAAGAAAAAAAGTATAATAAGTAAACATCAGGAGTCAAATGATGTGTATTATTGTATCGTCATACTAAAGATGAAGAAATCATTTAGAAAGAATAATTCAGACATCAGCAAACAGACATAGACAATGATAAAAAAATTAAAAGAGTAAGGATAAATAATTGACTGTAATTGACTCCACCAGAAAGGAAGATGGATTGTGGGTTATATAACACTAATAATTTAATCATAACGGCAGATTATATTATTGTTCATATTCATGAGTATTAAAATCTATACTGTTTTTATTCCTATAAGAAGAGGTGAAACAAAACAGTTTTGTCTAAACATAATTTCAAGTTCTTTTCCGAAAATACTTATATCGAATTTTTCATGTAAAGAGACTGATTGCTAAGAGATTTGAAATACTAATACACATTGTAGTTCATTTAATTAACTTACAGTTTGTGCTATAAAAGGTCGTCCTTTGGAGATGCGAACATGCTTTGCTGTTTTATTTCAGACAACCATGTATGTAATGTATCTAAAACCTACATCGTATAGATATGTTTTCAATATTTAGAAACATCGGATTTATGTTTATAATTGCGATCTATAGATGTCTTGGCTGAAAAGCAAATCAAGATGAATTGTATCTATATTGGTTTGGTACCGTGTATCTATATCATTACAAGATAGTAAAATTGAATGACCCAGACATTTATCCCCACAAAACATACATAAACCTTCTCCTGTCTTTTTATTTGGAATATAAAGATAGTATATGTAACTCTTTAAATCTGATATAAAGATTAAAAAAAATCAATAAAATCGCACTGACAGACTACAGTAATGCAGTGTAAACTTCAATCGGCATTCAAATGTAAGTCAACTTTTAATCTAGAAATGCATAGTTTCAAAGAAATCTTCTGTTTACTAAATAAGTTATAAGGTTTAAAATGGGCCTTTAAGTCACATGTAAATATGACAAGGGATACGTAGTCAAAGATGATTGTTTTAAAACTTTATACAAATTTATTTTAGTTCGAATGTGTTGGAAGCTATAAGCTTATTGAGACACTCTCGAATCCGTTCCAGGAACCAACCAGTACTAAGCAATGAATATAAAGTTTCTTGCTGAAGGAAACAACGGCTTGCCCCTGTCAGAGTTTGAACCCACTCGGTCAGCAATCCTTAGATTACTAGTCCGACGCGTTAACCACTCGGCCACGCTGCCAATCATTAAAACTTTAAATACTATTGGAAATATTATTAAAACATATCCTGTGAATAATGTACTTACGCACTGTCATACAGCATGATTATTAAAAATGGATTTCTTGTT